TTCCAGTTCAAAGTTGAGGTTGAAGGTTTGGGCGGAGGGAACGCGGATTGAGGTTGTGAGAAGGAAGGCTGGGGATGAGAGAATGAAGATTGTGGTTGTATGGGATTTGAGTAATTAGATTGCGGCTGAAGCGGTTGTGAGAACTGAGTAGCTGATGGTGTTAAAGCACCAAAGCTTGAGAGGTCTGGAGTGACTGTTCGTGATGTTGCTTGTTGTGGCCGAAGGACATTATTAATTGAGTTGGAAGGGTATGTAGGCGCTGTTGGCGATGGGGTAGACCAAGCAAAAGATGGTTTTGGTTGCGCCGACTGTGCTTGTTGAGCGTGGGGGCTTGTAGGATTAGAATCCCAACTGGAGTCTAAGGCGTTGTTTGATGAAGGTGCACCAGTTCCGCCTTTAACAAGTCGTTCGAAATCCATTTCGGGATCATCCGATCCCACGGCGGGTGGGAAAGCCGAAGCGGCGCCAAACGACATGAAATCATCGGTGCCATTTGCCCTTACACCTGCACCGTTACTACCGGAAAGCTCTTGCAACTTCTTTGTTTGCTCAGATTCGACCCGAACAGATAAGCTTTTAATGAGTTCCATGAAAGATTGGAATTGCTGCAGATTCAGGAGTGGCCCTAAACTCATATTCCATAATATCGGGAGAATATCCATGGCAACGAATTCTGCGTCGGCTATAGTACCTATCTGTCTAAGAACGTTTAAAGCAGCGACTGCAACAGCAGGTTCTTTTGTCTTGATTGCCCTAATCAGAGGTACTATTTTCTCCTGCATGGTATATTTGTCAAGGGGGGTAGATGTGTTTTTCTTGGCACCCCCAATGCCATCCAGACCATCATTGCTAGAAGTTGGATCATTTGAGCCACCACAAAGAACCACAAAAGCCTCTAGCCCTCGGACCTTTATTCCTAGACTGCTGGTCTTTGTGAACACTGAAGAGATGACTGGGAAAAGTTCATTCTTGATAGTAGAAAAATCTAGGATAGGAAGAACTACATTCAAGCTTCGCAAAGCAGCGTCTACAAGTGCATGCGTTGGCGAATCTATCGATATTGCTACTATGGGCAAGATATCTAAGGCAATTAGCACAATAAATCTGATCTTTGGCGAATATCTTACCATCTTTAAACTCTTTACCCGAACAATTGACTGATATTACTTGAATATGCTCCAACAATACCATCAGCCCAGCTTCCTTTGCAGCATCACGCTCGGTAGGAGGCTTGGGGTTATTCAAAAATATCTCCTTAAGCCTAGGCATGATCTTTTCGGTAAAAGGCCTTCTTCCGGAGGGCAATAATTCGATTATTTTGAAGATATTTTGTAAAATTAATGATATCAGTTCTCGGTCCTTCATTTCTTCTAACAAAGCCGGTAAAACCTTTTTTTCCATGACACTCTTTGGGAATGATGGTAACACCCTGGACAAACCACGCATGAATTGGGCCTTCTCGTTAGGAGTTTTGGCTGGTAGAGAGTCCAAGAATCGAATTGTAGATATCAAAATGTTATTAAAATAAGCGCTGTCCTGAAACTCTTTCGCGGTCATACGTTGTGCTGGACGTCTAGTGATCAATCGCGGTAGTACCTCTCCAGTCATATCTCTCGGCAATGGCTTTTTACATAAGAAGGTATTGCTAGATGAAGGGATGGTGGAAGATGAGGTAAATAGTCTTTTGTAACCAGATACGCTATTGTTGGACTCCAGTGGTGATGTATGAGGTGAGTTATAGAGAGCGACAATGAGAAGACCCAGTGAGAACATATCTGCTGAAACATTTAAATTCGAGTCTAGGACAAAATCTGGGGAACAGTAGTCGAGGTTGATCTGGACAGAACGAGGTAGTCGAGGATCGATGTTCAGAACCTCAGAGAGATTAATCGGTTGCACTGAAGATGCTTTAGTCGAATTGTCTGGCGGACTGCAAAAGCTGAGTCCACTAAGTTTCCAATCAGACTGCAATAATTAGTTTCAGCATATGCAAACATGCTTAAGAAACTTACCTTAGCATTCACAAACACAGCATCAGGAGTCAGATTCCCATGCACGAGGCCAGCATTATCGTGTAAAAACTCCAATGCTTTGCTGATCTGTAGAAGACCCTTTTGTATTTCCAATTCGTCTATCTCAACCTCTTTCCTCCTTCTGCCACCTTCCGAATCCTCTGTGACATATCGACTTGAGCGTCCGCCAATCCCACCAGCTCTTTCTTGTTCATCTTTTTCCTGTAGTAGGCCAGATAACGAGGCCGTTACGGTTTCCGTCGCAAATTGTAATCCTCCACCCCTCAATTCTTCCACCGGCTCTACCAGTTCCAGAATACTAGGATGCCGCAGCCTTGCCAAAGACGATGCTTCTTTCTTCAATCTTTCAATTACCTCCTCAGTCGCGCGCTTCATCGAGGTAGCACTCGATCGCCCCAAGGATCCTGCATGTGCGTCTAAGGCTTTGCGATCGAGGACAAAGACTGAAGCAGTCTTTCCTGTCGATTTCTTCTTCGCATCGTATATTTTCCATGGTCCTGAGTATGAACTGGGTGTGGATGAGACTGAGTAGTTCGAGTTGATATTCGAGGTGAAGGACTTCAACGCGGAACTGAACATCGTCGCAGCTCTCCTCCCACCAACACTAGAGTATCAAAGGATTGTCCGAACTTCTGGCGCATGAACCTTAAACCCTTGATAATTATATTGTTAGGAAGCTTATCTTGACTGGTATATTCTCGTTAAAGTGACTGTTGTTGATTTCCCCTTGGACTTTTCAAAGACGGTGGAATAATTTTGTTGTGGTCTCGCAACTGTTTCCTCCCTCTGGGTGTACAAAAATCGTAAGCCTTGTCAAAATAATAAAGGGACATCTACTCTGGAATTCGACCTCTCACAACGAGTGTTAAGCTTGTGATTTCAGGGACATGTTGCTTACATAAGTCTGCATAAGATTTAAATGTTATCTTTTTAATCCTTGCAATCTGATGGGACAAGATTATGCTGGCACTCCGCAATTCGGAGCCGGGAAGTGGTCACAGCATCTAAATTTATTTTGGACATTGAGGATTGAATGACTGACTCCGAGGACCATTTCAAAGCATAGGTGGGATCTTACTCATTTAAGAAGCTCAAGTTTCCCAATTCACATTTCGAAGTTCATCCCAACCTTTTATTCTTTGAAATTGATCAAAATGCTTCGTCAATTGTTCCCTAGAGGGGCAGCTTTCCCAAAGCCAAGCTCAAGAGTGTTGAGGCGATGGGAGGCTTCTTCGAGATTATACAGCATACAAGCAGAAGCTGCTTCTACGACGAAGCTACAAGACATCGACCCTACCAAATTGACTATAACGAAAAACACTACTCCTAATGAATTACTTCCCCCAAAGGAATTGGTATTTGGAAGATCGTTTACAGGCAAGCTCCTCGGAGATCTCACAAAATTGCCCATTGCTGACCGCCCATAGATCATATGCTTAGCATTGAATGGACAGCTTCAGATGGATGGTTACCCGCACGCATAACACCTTACCAAAACCTTTCCCTCGATCCCGCGTCCTGCGTTTTCCACTATGCGTTTGAGTGTTTCGAAGGCATGAAGGCATACAAGGATAAAAGCGGAAAGGTACGGCTCTTCAGACCTACCAAGAATATGGAACGAATGAACAAGTCCTCCGCTCGTATTGCTCTGCCGACTTTTGATCAATCCGCCATGATTGAATTGATCTCAAAATTCGTTGCTATGGAGAAACGATTCATTCCAGAAGAAAGAGGATATTCATTATACCTGAGACCGACTATGATTGGAACACAAAGAACATTAGGTGTTGGACCACCGGGTTCCGCTTTACTATATGTTATTGCTTCTCCCGTTGGGCCATATTACCCTACTGGATTCAAGGCTGTGTCCTTAGAAGCTACAGATTATGCCGTAAGAGCATGGCCTGGAGGAGTTGGAGACAAGAAATTGGGTGCGAACTATGCTCCATGTATCTTGCCACAATTAGAGGCCGCCAAGAGAGGGTTCCACCAAAACTTATGGTTATTCGGCGAGGAGGAGTATGTTACCGAGGTTGGAACCATGAACATGTTTGTGGCTATTAAGAATAAGGAAGGCCAAAAGGAATTGGTTACCGCTCCATTAGACGGTACTATTCTGGAAGGTGTCACGAGAGACTCTGTTCTATCTTTAGCCCGCGAGAAGCTGACTAAGGATGGATGGATTATTTCTGAACGTAAATACACTATGAGTGAGTTAGCAGATGCATCAAAAGAAGGTCGATTATTAGAGGCGTTCGGGGCAGGAACTGCAGCAGTCGTCAGTCCAGTGAGGAACATCTCATGGAAGGGCAATTTGGTCGAGTGTGGATTGAGACCAGATCAAGAAGCTGGTGAGATCGCATTGAAAATGAAGGAATGGATCGAGGCTAGACAATATGGTGATGAAGAGCATGAGTGGAGTTATGTTGTACCTAATTAACGAGCTATATATGTGTATGTATTCATAGAGCCGGATGAATGGAAAAGCGAAAAATGGGATATATATTAGTCATACTTTGAACTTTCAAATTCACATTGTGAAATGCATTCTTGTGCCGGAGTTTGAACAGACGAATGGAAACATGATCGAGGTTGAAGAGTCATCAGATCCAACGATGACCAGATAACAATCCTACCCTTAAGAGCGGTACGCGGGTCTTTCATCGAGTTCCAGAATTTTCACTTTTTATTCACCACATGCCGAACGAAATTCACAGTAAGCTCATGTTGGTGCCAAGTTCCTTAGGAAAGAAAAGAAAAGAAACTCAATAATATTCCTTCGTTCTATTAGCACGCATAATATTCCGTGCAACCCGTACATCTTGGAATTCTGCGCAAGATGTTCATAGCCTTCCATCATCAATCCTTCGTATGTACAACTCCCCTGCTCCATCAGTCTTCGTCCTTGAGCGCTCCATCCAGTTCCAGATTCTCCATTGTAACTTGCGTGCCCAACAGTACAATGGTTTATGATTTGTCTTCTGGCTCCTTCAAGATCCCCTCGGCTTCTAACCTTCTGCGTGCTTCTTCTAATGCCCATGTTTGTATCCTGTGAATGATAATTAGCGGCTGTTTGGATTTTGTGTATGATCATGTATCTGTAGGAGCCCATGTTCTCAATTTCCCTCGCTCCATTCTTGCCACAACCCCTCCACCCCTCTTCTTAAAATCCCTGGTCTTTCAGTCCATACCAAATTTTCCCAAAATCAACCATTTCACCTTCAAACTTTCACCCATAGTAAGATCCCACAGAAATAAAGAAATAAAAAACCTACGAGGTATCTGGCTTGACCGCATAACCCACAATTCCAAAAGCACAAGTTCCAAAAAACCCGTACACCCATAAATTTTCCCATCCCTCTTTCTCGGCCTTCTCTCCAGGTTTCACTCCAAATAACCATCCGCTCGGTGGCTCATAGTGGTCACCATGATCTGCTGACTTTCGGGCTGCGGTGATAGACAAATTTCGTGCTTGGTTGAGAACTGCTGATTGTGTGCGGACGATGGTGCTGGTAGCGCGAGGAATGGCGCGTGTAAAAGACATTTTCGAAAAACTCGCGATAATTGGAAAAACGAATTGCGATGTGACGATTTGCGGGAAAAAGAGAGAGTGCTGGTGGAGTTGTTGATGAGATGGTGGTGATGATGAGGTTGTGAGGGTTGATCGGTAATATTTAGCCAAGACGCTAATTTTCCGCTCCGCCGGTTGCTTGGAGTCGCTCCCGAAAATGAGCCAAAACTTGAAAACGATCTCCACAAATTGGACAGGTTGTCTTAGTAATCTGCATTCTTACATGAATGATTGTGGTTGGCTCTTGAACCTCACCTGCAACCTCTTCAACGTCAACCTTCTTGACTTTCTTGTTGTTGACCTTCTCCAAAATCTTCTTCTTACAAAACTCATATGTGTCAACGACTTTGTTGTTCAATCTGAACAAAAAGAGTTTGCCCAACCAAAGAAATTCATTTGGAGCACTCATGATGGTTTTTGTATGTGACTTTAAGGTAATGTGGTGAGAGGTATTGGTAAGGAATGGTTGTGAAAAGAGTTCAATTGAGTTTGTTCAAGGTTGTTGATCTGAGATTGTTTTTGGAAGAACATTTCTGGAACTAATTTGGAAATTTATCTGTGGGAGAAACCTTAGTACTCCTCGGCGCCGAGAGCATCACCTTCAATGTGATGTGGGAATGGTTCATGGGAATGGTCCTCGGAGACAACTGTCCATGATCTTGGTTTCAGTCTTCAATCCATGCTGGTCTCTCTTTTGTTATGGCTTTCGTTTGAAGCCAGACACTATCTCAACAATGTTACTGGATGCAATACCGAATGTGCAACTGCTGCATTTTGGTGGATGTATTACACACTTCAACACATGTTTGGCTCAGTTCCCTCTGTTCTCTGTGTTGCAGAACTACTTCAAAGTGCAGTCTTCAATGTTGCTGCCGCTCAACGCACGCCTATCTCCATGTTATCTAGTCTCTCTAGGTGGTAATTTCAGGACTTTTCTCGAGTCGCTTCTGGAGTTCTCTGCATCATTGCAGGCTGGTCTTGAGTTTGACAAAAAAGCTGTATGGCTCCGCAGAAGTCGCAAGATCTTTGGCTCCGTCATCAATTCTCGCATTGCTGTCTCGTGGACATCAAGGTAGATATCGGTAGACTGTGTGAATGGTCAACTACATTGACGGTCTAGTTTTCTAGCAGTTTGTGGTTTTGTGGTTTTGTGTCCTCCCATGGGCAAAGATATGGGTATTTGACTTTCGTGCCATTGTGTTTTTGATTGTCCCCAATGCTATACCACCTATCCAGTATTCATTGTTTGAAGTTTGCATAAAATACTGAGAACCAGTGGGTTTATATTCTTGAGAATACCTCTTTAAAATTTGTTACTCAAGTCCAATATGCCCAAAAGCATGCTGCATTGAGTTCCTAATCGCTTTGCGACACTACTAGCGCTTCCGCACAGCACCTTTCGAGCAAGACTCATCAACCACTGATTTAAATCCCATATCAATAATAGTAAGCATACTGATCATATCAAATGACTGGAGCTTGAATGCTAACTTCTTCGGTTTCATACAAAGGTACCAATTCGTGACCAAATTTTCTTTCGGCGGCAATGAATCAGACGACACAGTTTGTATCATACCACTATCTACCAGCAGTTCCATAATATAGAGTCTTGAAATTTCGAGACCCAGGCCGAACCGGTTCCCAAGACGCGTCTGAGCATCAATGCATTCTTTCGCCTCACAGCTTACGAAGGTTGGGTTCGCTGGACTTAAAATAAAGTGCCATCCTCCTCGCGTGTCTCGCGTTTACAATTTCTCGTTGAAAAAGTTCCCCAACGAATTCTTGAAGAAAACCTGCTCGAAGTTTACTATTTCTCTAGCCCACGAACTCTAGCTTCTAGAAATAAAGTTCCTTGGACGCAGTAGCTTCATTCGTGCTGGAAAGTTTGTCTGCGGAGTATAAGGTACGCTTGCTCCCTCAAGAGAATACTTCCCGCATCTCCATTTCTGGACCCTGCCCCAGCCACTTGAAGAGTACCCGAATCTCGCGAATCTGCCTTGTTTTCTGGAGAAGGACTATGTTGTGCCTGTGGCTGATAATGGCGGTAGTGTGTTAACTTTTGAAGATTTAGGTTTTGCTGGGAGAAATAAGTAAAATTGTCGATAATTGACAGTTGGTATGGTTTCGACTTAGTGGGCCTTAAACCTCCGCGTACGGTTATATCAGTTATGGTCTGAAAAGGAATCGGAAGACAATAATTACATTCTTTGGGGAGAACGGTGTGGCAAGCAACTGTGGGTTTTGTTTGTTCCTATGCCTGGTTATGGGGCGCAATGGATCGAGTCGTGAAGATAATCAAGATTCATACAATATTGTAAATGGGAAGAGAATTAGAAGAAGTAAGACGGTGTAAGTGAAGCCCTTCATTGGGACATGAAATGCTGATGTATGCTGACGTATCGAAATTGCGGTCCGGAATCATACCTACAGATCATACAGCACTGATCAAGCATTCGCAGTCATATCATGAGCCACGCTGTACACGATGAATCATCTAGCAGTAGTCGGGTATGTAAAGTGGCTGTTCTGTAGGTATTCTTTGGAAATTGTGAATGTCCCAAGAAAAAGAGAGGTCCAGGACGCTTGTGAAAGATCGGTAATCCCCGTGCCTAGCCATGCTATTTATTTCTATCTGACCACATTGATGGTTAAATGTTGAGGAAGAGATAGAATTTCTTTCCAATCTAGTATAATTGACAATAAAAAGGATGGCAACGATAGAAGTTACAGCAGAAGCGACAATCAAACAAAATCTGGGTCAAAGTCGAGCAGGACAGTAAAATTAACAAGATTGGTGTTGATATCAAGTGCACGATATCTTGAAGAAAACTGGTGGACGCCATATCTCCTATCAGATAATGACTCAACTTGTGGCATGTTACATCGTCGAGTTACTTGGTCTTTTTGTGACCATTTCGAAAGGCTAGGAACATTTGACAAGTTTTGCATTTGCTGTCGTGAATTTGTGGAAAGGAATGCGTATTTATAGATAGAACAACGGTCTCTTGAGGGGGTTGGATCGGCTTGTGGACCGACAAGAATCAGTCGAGGTTCAGCGCCATAGTGCAGTACGTAAGTTTGAGAAGAAGTGAATGATACCTTGCATGATGTACTTAGTCTGGATCTCAGTGGCTGTTCCATAAGAACAGACTTCTGGTATTCTTTTTCGGTATCGTGAACACATACTGAACCGTCTCAAAGTCCGTTGAGGATGCGGTCAAAGAAGTGCCACTACCGAAAGCGTTCTACGCTATTTGTTGGAAGTGTGTGAGACATTATCTTCCCTGATGCGATGTGACATATAAATTGGCATGTTGATAGTTGGCGACGGTGCTTGGAAAAGTAATGACAGCGAAAAGTTTTGTTGCTTATGCAAGTTTTCATCATCAGTGACAGCGTAGGACTTCAAGCGATGAGAGACCTCTTGATTATACCCAGCCTTGGTTTGCAGAAAATTAAGGGTTAAAGTACAATCAATTGATCACCACTTGCTACCTTCGGGGTCAGACGAACTTAATAATCCCCGTTTTCTCCTTATGAGCCTGCTGCTCTGAAATTAGGTGATACATTTATGCTCTCGATAGATAGGAGATGGATACCTTTTATACTGCTCTTAATGCAATTAATTGAGCATACTATCTAAAGCATATTAGTAGAAGGAAGTGTAATGTGAGTGGGCTAGTGATGAGTAATGAAAATGGAAAATATAGAGAAGTTGAGGGTGTACGTTTTTTGTCTGGATTGACCATTCATTGCAGTGGTTTTGAAGAGTCAAGAGCCGAGAATTTTTCGTAGTTACCCAGCATATAATATTGCAGATCCAGTGTAGTTGAGATTCTAGATACAAGCGAGTCGAGGAGAAGACAGTTCTAAGACTAATCAGAGCATGGCACGTAGCTCTTGACCGGAATCTGAAGGAATCACAATTCTCCAGATGTATGGTTCTGGGGGTACTCATTCGGGAATCGTTTCCAAATAGAAGATCGAGATACTCTTGATGATGAAACTATCATGCAGCGGCATTAGAAACCAATAGTAACAGTGAAAAGACTGTGAAACTTAAGTTATCCTACAATGTATACTCTAATATAATAGCTTCACGGTGAGTCCTATAATATAGCGTTATTGTTCTATCCTGAGTTCGATCACCTAGTGGTGATACTGTCATATTCGCATACATAAAGTCAACGCTCATTATCAGATCTCAAACGAAATATATCCCTTGTCTTATATAGCGGGACTAGCTCATATGATCCATTGTTCAAAATATTGACATACCAACTTTCTGGGGAAGCGGTTAACATCTCAAGAGTATCCACATGTTCCCTTGGACCTCAAACCCAATTGGCTTTCTTTTTTGGGTTTAATCGCATAGAATCTTTCACAACGGTTGTTTGTATATCCGAAGCTGGTATCAAGATTCAGGATGCCGGGGCACGACGCGCCTTGATTGCATCCTCTTGAAATTGCCGAGTGGTGTGGATATGTGAATCATTTGATACCTTGATAGTTTTCTATTTTTGTTGAATATGATGAATTTCAGGATCTCATTGGGAATCTTAAATATGCTTCTTCCATTGTTCGATATATAAGGAGCTTGTGGATCTTCTAGCTAATAGTAAACATCTGCAAGAATTCCAACAACATTCACGGTTTAGGGATCAAGCAACCATTCGTCATGCAATGAATCTTCAAGAATTGCGATTTGTGCCCCGGTTCATGTTGGAGAGGATATCCGGACAATATTGTTCATCCTAAGATTTGAAGAAGGGTACTGATGATCCACTACAATGTCGTTGTGTTATATTAACAACAATTATGTATTATCTAGAACTTACTACTCTTGTCTTCTTGACGCTGTTTCATGACAGCGCCAACATGATATCACACAATGGCAAAAATCCAGAAGAGTACATCTGATGAATTGGTTCGGATCTACATAACAAGAGATGGAAAGTTATCGACGAGCCGCAAATGAATGTAAATCCACTTTATGCTCCATGATAGGTGGAAAATTGACCAACTACCTCGTGAAGCAGTGGCGGCCGTCCATCTTCTTTTGCTTGAGAAGTGATTGAGTTGGTCAACTGCAAGGGGCTTTTATAGTACATTTGTGAGATGCTGTGAAAGAATGGTTTGAGTGAGAGATGTGAGGACCACACTTATTGTGGCGAAGAATCCAATAATTAGATAAAATGGACTATGGACTACCGAATCATTGGTTGCTTGTGAAAGGGTCTCTCTCACTGTATAAAAAGTCAAACTCAAAGCGTCAAACTCAGAGCGCCAGTAAGCCTTGGTCCAACAACAAGGAGGCTTAGTATAATGGAGTCCAAGTCAATCTGGAATTGTCTATACAATTGTAGTTTGGTTTCCGATAATCAACACCGGTATGCAAGAAGAAAATAGTCTGGAGAATCGAATTTTGTGACAGTGATAATAGTGTTTAACAATAAGATATTTGTCTGGCGAAACTTACCGATCAAGAATGAACATATCATGCTCCGGTGGTACGAAACAGCCAAGCATAAGCTGTGAGTAATATGTAGCAATAGGATAAACCCTTGGACATTTTCCGGTTCTGTTCTAAAGCATCCTCTTCGGCACCAAGTTGAAGGCTTAGCCATTGGTTTATTTTGTTGCAGATAGTCTTGGAGATTCTCTGCGAAGACTCAAGATGCAGTCAATAAATATAGAGCAAGAGTGAATATCTACGTGAAGGTTTAATCAATCAACGGAGAAGACAGCTTTCCATAGACGAGACTTCTATACCGTCGGCCATATAGATCAATTGTCTCATTTTCATTTTTCGACTTTTCGACTTTTCGACTTTTCGACTTTTCGACTTTTCGACTTTTCGACTTTTCTTAATATTAATATTTATTTGATTTATTCTATAATATCAATACTATTAAAATTTATATAATTTATTAGAAAAAGATTATATTTAATATAATAAAACTATTATTAAAAAAACAAAATAAAAAAATATATATAAATTACTTATTTTACTCTTATTTTTTCATTTTTTTTAAAAAGAATTTCAAATTTATTTTTGAATTTTTTTAAATCTTTTAAATCTTTTAAATCTTTTAAATCTTTTAAATCTTTTAAATCTTTTAAATCTTTTAAATCTTTTAAATCTTTTAAATCTTTTAAGTCTTTTAAATCTTTTTTTATAATAAATATAGTTTTAATAATATTTATATTATATAACATATTAAATAAATCTTAATAATTAAAAGTTTTAAAAAGAATAAAAAAAGTCGAAAAATCGAAAAATCGAAAAATGAAAATGAAACAATTGATCTATATAGTCAACGGTACTTCTAGATCAACTTTAAGTATTACAAAGTTTTAGAGTTTTACTCTCTTAATATTTATATCATCTCTACTTCTCCATTTACAGGCCAGAGTATACTATACCACAAGAGACACATCTCGGCATGCTCTGGTCTATCCTTCGAATTGACTCCGATAATCTTGATCTGAACTTTTCATGCAGTCGTCATGTAACTATCACTAAAAGAGAAATAACGTTTGCCAACGACAATAACAGAAGCAATTTCTCAGGAAATTGATTGTCAAAATGGTGACCGATGTTATTGATACATACCCTGTTTGGAAGCCATTATCAGGGGGCAGAAAGTCCGCAACAAATTCGTATCTAAAGGAAAATTTCCAGAATTGACAGATAGTGCAAACGGCAATAGACTTATCTAGTTCTCGGCTCCATGAACGATCAGTACTTGAGAGATTTTGTCCTTAAAGAAAAAACAACGGAGAGCCATTTATAGAAAGCTAGAGACCAACCTAATATTATGAGATTGATAAAATCCACGGGCTAGAAGTGGATACTCGCCGCGCATACGCCAGAACTCGAAAGAGGGGGCAATTACTAGATCAGATCGCTAAACTTTCTTTAATAAAGTGAATATAATCGAAAGTTTTCATCTTCTTTGGCTTAAATATACGAAACTCGGTGAACTAGGGCACACAAGGCTTAGAAATCAACAGTCGCTTCAGTATGATTTGCTTTGCTGGGAGGGAGGAACATGAACTTTATAGGATCATCAGTCTACAATTCGATAGTTCTCGTTCGTTAGGTATTTTCAGCAATGTTGGAAGAGCAGAGTGAACTTCTATGTGATAAGTGAAAATCGGATGATATGAATTGGGTTTTGGTGATGGCGACAGCGACAACTCAGTCAAACATCCGATGACAATAATGCCTATTGATAGTCTAATATGCTCGACACCTATTGCAAGAACTCGCTTCCGAAATTTTCCTCCGATATCTCACGCTCGGTACACATTACCCTTCAAGAACATATAAAGTCTATTGCCGGTAGCTTCCTGGGCAGTTTTTGTACTGGAAGCCCATTCAACTGATCAATGCCGTGATAGATTCTTGCTAGTCGATATTTGAGGATATAAAAGGATTTATATAACTTGAGCTTTGAATCAAAGTACCTAGTGAGTGAATATGACAGTGTGAACAAGAGGCTAGACGTAAACAGGGAGTGGGTCAGAAGGACATGATGACGTGCTGGTGAAGAAGCTCGAGTTCAGGGGCTGAGAATAATCTATGTAGAGATTAGGTATTTAAAGATAGTAGAGCTCTATGGTTTTGAAAATTAAAGAAATTTGACTGTATCTAAAGAATTCAAGATAATCCTGGAGAGGAGCTACTTACAATCTAGTTCTAGAATTGCATTGAGTATATGCCTTTGATTATTTGGGTATGCGATTTATGCGGTAATGTTTTCGATTTCTTCGACATTCGATACCACAGCCTGGAGTCGCAAGAAGAAACGTAGCGATAACAGGGTTGACCTGAACGACAGTAGAAATATACGAACAAGAAGAACAGATTCTAATACCCCGACTACAAACACCCAACTCTGATACCATACCAGGCAGACGATCTACAACTGGAAGATATATTACTTCCGATTAGTCACCAAAGTCTCCATGCACAGTGTTTCTAAGCCTTGACCATCCATTCAGTTGACAAGACCAAAGCAAGCAGAGGTGCACTTTTTATAGCAAGGGAATGGAAAGTATCTAGAAATTTTAAGTCGCTTTAGACATCCATTGTGGAGAATCCCAATCCCCCTTAAGGCTCTAATGGAAAGTCAAAAGGGCATTTATAGCGAACATTTAATCCTCCCGATGATGGATTGCCCAAGAACAACTTCGTCAATTTCTATATTATCAAGCACGGGAATGGAAGCTAGGTGTGCCATTGAGAACAGTTTATCCTGCTGGATTTATACTCTGAGTATTGCCTCTCTATCTGCGCTATTGATTACACTCTTCCGGCATATTGAAAAGCAGTAGTAGCTATTGATAGTGGTAGATCTGAACGGCAGTGAGCATAACAATATGCACCATCGACGACGAATAGAAATTTCAATAGTGGATCGATTTCTTTATATTCACTTGAATTCGAGCGATATACATCCCATATAACTGTGTGCAGAAGTCGCATTTAGCAATCCACATCCAAGATCACATCTAACGTTTTCCATGCGCAACGCGTAGAAAGTCTGGGAGTGTGATGGCTGCATGAAAGGATTATTTTATAACCCCCCGAGGATGTGGCTCGTGACTCATGACAATTTTTATGGGGGGTGGAAAATTGTTTCTCATGATAGCGATACATCATGATATTAGCTCAGTACCATCTATGCAGTAATTGCGAAACATGGAGCAAAGTACGAGGGTAATTCCTATCGTAAAAAGGCGACCAAAACGGGAGTATAGGAAGCAGTGAACAGTTTCCTTGTATCGCATGGTAAGCTATTCGAGCGAAAATCTAATAGACTCCACTTGGAAGTGGGAGATTCATCGAGTTTACTATGATGAGAAGAAATGGATAATCCGAGACTACAACTTTTCACTTAACAAACAGAATGCATTTTGATTAAAAATTGCTTTTCATTCAGTCTATAGCTCGGAACTCTATATCGTCTAAAGTCTAACATGTGGACATCAACCCAGTTGACTGGTATCAAACCGCCTGGTCCAATTTTTGATTTTCCAACCGAGCCCTCCCAAATCCATTTCAAACACCCCCCAAAAAAGAAAAAAGAAAAAGAAAGGCACACTAGTCGGTCGCAGACGCAGCAGCACCGGAAGCTACACTAGCACCCGTAGGCTTAGCAGCCCCCTTAGCACCTTTACCCTTCTTGCCTCCGGTACCGGTCGAAGCAGCTTTGGTACCACCAGTAGTACCAGTGGCATCAGCGGTACCATTCTTGTTCTTCTTTCTTGATTCAAGGATGGGAAGACCACGGAGACCTAGTGAACTGAGCTCGCTCTGAATCTCGCCGGTGAGAGATTCGCCGCCGGTGCTAGCTCCGGCTGCAGCGGGATCGGCATCGCCTTTTCCTGCCTTGGCGGCTGAGGTAGCTGCCGCTGGTTCTGCGCCGGGTGCCTTTGCTGCACCATTTGGCTTTGCTGCGCCGGTTGCTTTTGCTGCACCATTTGCCTTTGCACCAGTTGCTTTTGCTGCACCATTTGCCTTTGCACCAGTTGCTTTTGCTGCACCATTTGCCTTTGCACCAGTTGCTTTCGCTGCACCACTTGCTTGTGCTACGCCACCAGTTCCCTTTGCGCTTCCCTGTGATGAGTTAGTATCATGAGACAGAGGGATAAATATATAGTAGGACAAACCTTGTTTCCCTTGCCTTTGTTTCCAGTTTCAGTTGAAGCTGCGGCGTTTACATTGAGACTGGCAGTTCCCTTTGCCTTTGGACTATCTGCGGCAGCATTGGTTGTTGCATTAGCTAGAAGTGGTAGTCAGTATGAATGAAAGATATAAGATGAAACCAAAGGACTAACCAGCACTGTCGTTATCGTCGGTATCGTTGTCTTCATTGTCATCTTCGTCATCGTCGCCGTCATTTTGCTTGTTTTTTGGTGATCGAGCATAGAACTCAAATACTGATCTTGTTAGCTATGTTTGTTTCCCGTGAGGTGCTATTGGCTAACCATTTGGAACTGGTGCTCTAGCAATGAGATCAGACTCGCTCTCTGGCAGAGCTCGAGAAGAAACGAGTGTGGCAGAAATAGCAATGAATGCTAAGATGGATCCGAAGTTCTTCATGATGAAAGAGGTATGGCGATAAGCGTCAAGCTGTTAGGTCTATAGGTTAAAGTAATGAAGTAAGAAAGCACAGCTATGAATTGTTATTATTGTCCAATAGTCTATCAAAATAGGAAGACTTACCTCTTGAAAGAATGTAAATGTAAAGGGAATTGAAATAAACACACAAAGAGATGAAGAAATGAAGTTTTGATGTAGAATGAAGATATAAATCTTGAGGCTTTCGAGGCTTTTATCTTCAAGTTCGACAACAATGGCTGATCTGGACCCCATGGAATCTCGAGCTTCTTGAAACCATGAGACGCCAAACAAAGGGAAGATAATCAGCTCATGCTTAGCCCGTCTGATCTTCAATCTATTTGAAAGTTTATTTCGTTGACCGTGTGCTGTCAAACACCCCATCACACCCCATATAGTATCGATTTTCACGCAAGAACCATGAAAGGCACCATATTTAGAATACGAAAATTAGTAGATGTTGTGTGAAATAAAGTTTATTCTATGAAACCCCGATTCTCTGGTACCCACGCCCGCACCCGTGGACAGTGAACTACAAGAGCATTCAGGTTAGCGTCGTCGGGAATATAGTTCCAGACAAAAAATAAGCTTTTTAAGCATCAATCCTCTCAAGTGGGGTGTATCTTCGCAACTAAATCTAAAGATCTTTCGTAAGAACGAAATAAAGATTGGGGTGGACAGTTGTACCGAATCGAGATAGTTCTGAGTTCGGTAGTGTAGAAACCGGGGTTTCAAACTGTCGATTAAACCAATTCGGCTACAGCGTCAAACGAAAAAGGAGGTGTCAAATACTTCCGAGACGGGTGGGCCCCGGCAAACATCATCGGATCTGTGAAATACCGCGCCAAAAAAGGAAGTGTAACGGTAGCACAGTATCAAGTGTCCTATTTTAAGAGACGTAAACTGTAGTTTGTATCATCCTCAATTGCTTGGTACATCTGAATAATGGGAAAACTCTCATCCCAAGTCTTGTATATGAAAACATACCTTGGCACGTATATTTCGCCAAGTTCTCAGGTTAATGGAAGTCTTGATGGAAGACATAGTATGTTCAATTCGAAAAAGAATATGGAAGTGCACTGGAGTCGTTGAACGGATGTTGAACTGAGCAAATTTACTTGATGGGTCCTTGACACCGATCTCTCTACGGCTTTTGTGCCAATGGACCAGTTGACGACGCATCGCAAGTTCTTCCAGAACATTGATATTGTGGTTGAGTACCTAGGTAAGTAAATGAAAAATACCCAATTGATTTGAAGATTCAGTCTTAGGAGATAACATCTTTGCTCGGACTCTGTTTATCACGATCTACACCACGACATCTGCATGTATCAGTACCGCGGGGCAAACAAGATAACGTTCATAACTCACACCCACATTTCTAATCTCTTGGCATGAGTCCGATGTATAATGGATGAAGCGGTATTCTTTGGAGAAATTCAAGCAGCTGTAAACAATGCTGACATTGGAGATGATACTATTCGTGAAGAACTAACACATATCTGTGAGGGGGTTTCGTTCCGATCCGATTGCGACCCCGCTGAACCGTTTCCGAGGGAGTACTACAATACCTAGGTATCTTCGTTCGTTGCCAAAAATAACACTCCCATCTTTCCGCATCCACCAGATTATCAAGTACCCAATCTCCGAATAGTAATGATAGACATTTCCCTGACTCTTGCAACGATAACAATGTTGTCGCTTTCGTGATGATTTTGATGTTATTCAGTCAATTAACTGCTTTCAATTGGCTGCTTACGGCTGAAATGGCTTTCAATCGGGTGACACATGATTGGTCCGAGGTTCTAGCTTTTACAGTATTGCCGAGACGAGAAGCTTTGAAGAATTTCGCCCGAACCCGAACTCGAACTCTGAGCGCATTCGTGAGTCAAGAGGCAAATGAATTGTACTTTAAAATTAAGAAAGAACAATTGATATGAGGTGACAATAATCATGTCTTCTTCAAGGGCTGTCACGGCATGTCTGCAGCGTAACGTCGCGCGACAAAATGCTTCCAGGATTGCGACTCAATGTCCGCGAATTCTTCAACAATCATTCACACATCCCACATCGCGACCCCGCATTGCCTCATCATTAATTGCTAGCCAACGACGCACTTTCTCTCTTACAGTCTCTCGACGATTGGCAGATGTTGCAGAGGATTTTGACCCAAAATCGGTGGAGAGAGAGTCGGATGAGGTTGATGTATGTATAGTTGGAGGAGGTAAGAATATTATCACATGCCAAGGGTTTTTATTAACATTCACAGGTCCATCTGGTTTAAGTGCTGCGATTAGATTAAAGCAACTCGCAAACGAAGCAGGGAATGAAGATTTTAGGGTCATACTCTTAGAAAAAGCAGGTGAAATTGGGGCACATATTCTTTCTGGCGCGGTCATTGAACCTACGGCTATCAACGAATTATTCCCAGATTGGCTCGCGGAGGACAATGAGAATAGATTCGAAAATGTTACTCCCGTCTCGGGTGACAAGATGCGTTTCCTTACCAAAGGTAGCGCAATTCCTATACCTGCTCCGCCGCAGATGAACAATCATGGCAATTACATCGTCAGTCTTAATCAATTCACAAAATGGCTTGGAGATCGAGCAGAAGAAGTTGGAGTTGAAGTTTATCCTGGTTTTGCAGGAGCAGAAGTTTTATACAAGCCGGATGGATCTGTCAAGGGTGTCGCTACCAATGATCTAGGTATTTCGAGGAGTGGCAAACCCAAGGATAGTTTCGAGAGAGGAATGGAATTTCACGCAAGAATAACCCTGTTCGCAGAAGGTTGCCATGGAAGTCTCACAAAGCAAGTCATCAAGAAATTCGACCTCCGTAGAGATAGTCAACCACAAACTTATGGCCTCGGTATAAAGGAGGTTTGGGAAATCCAGCCTGAAAAGTTCAAGAAGGGCCAAGTTGTTCACTCCCTGGGCTATCCTCTCCCAGCAGACACATATGGTGGTGGCTGGATGTATCACTTTGGTGACAATATGGTGAGTATAGGACTTGTGGTAGGACTCGATTATCCAAATCCTTGGATGTCACCATATCAAGAGTTTCAAAAGATGAAGCATCATCCACTTTATAAAGATGTTTTAGAAGGCGGCAAATGCATATCATATGGAGCCCGTGCTCTCAATGAAGGGGGTTTCCAATCGATACCGAAATGCGCCTTTCCTGGTGGCGCCTTAATTGGTGACACTGCAGGCTTCCTCAACGTTCCAAAAATCAAGGGTACCCACACCGCTATGAAATCTGGAATGCTTGCTGCAGAGGCAACATGGACTGCATTGGAGAAAAACGACGACGCGTCCGTTTTCTTGTATGATTATGAAGATTCATTGCGCAAATCCTACATCTGGAAAGAGTTGAAGGAGGTACGAAATATGCGGCCTTCATTCCATTCACCACTAAAGCTATATGGTGGTATTATGTACTCCGGACTCGAAGCATATGTTCTAAAGGGTAAAGTCCCCTGGACATTGAAGCACAAATCCACTGATGCTGCAGCTACCAAGCTTGCCGACCAATGTACAAAGATTGAATATGAGAAACCCGATGGCAAAATCTCATTTGATATCTTGACAAGTGTTAGTCGTACCGGTACAAATCACGAGGAAGATCAACCAGTTCATTTGCAGGTCAAGGATTGGGATAAGCATGCGGAGATGGAATACCCAAAGTATAAGGGTATTGAAAACAGATTCTGTCCGGCCGGTGTGTACGAGTATGTTGAAGATTCAACAAAGGATATCGGAGTGAGGTTTCAAATCAATGCTCAAAAGTAAGTTTCTCTTCTCAACACGTTGCCTTGATACTAATCCTTCTCAGTTGTATTCATTGTAAAACATGTGATATTAAGGTGCCGGATCAGGATATCAATTGGAGTGTTCCGGAAGGTTCAGGGGGACCAAAGTATTATATGACTTAGATATCCGAGCGCATAAAGCAATATGTACACCTATTTACACTATACCCAGATGGCTTTTATGTGATGCTGACTTAGGCTGGGTGATATACCGCTTATTTACGAACGGTGAATATTGAGCTCTCGTTGTATAAGTACGCCACACATTCTTTTCAAAATCCCTAAGAGCTACGAACTTCAATTTCACTAAATAACAAGGGCTGGGTCTACTGGTCTAGAGATTTTCATCATTGATATTTGAATTATATTTTGGTTATTGATGCTTGACTATCTACTAAAAGTGTGCATATCATCTACTTGAGCCTTGACTCGAGCTTCATCGGGATATCTAATGAACTCGAAATTCAGTGACTACATAAAGTGACTGGTGTTCGAAACCTAGAAAGAACTGTCCATTTCTCCACATGTCAACTAACTAAACTATCTAGGACTAGTCTTCCAGCACGACTCTAGAATCATGGAATTAGCACTATTCCCATAGACACGAGATGGTGGTATCGCCACTTGCCAAGTTGTCTTCGGCGTCTGAGATGACTGTGCGAGGAGCTGATACGGTGGTTTGGCGACTTGGGAATTGGTCGTCGGCGTCTGGAATAAATGCACCTGGATACGAGATAGTATCATCCCGACTTGTAAAGTTGTTGCCGGCTTGTGAAATGCCTACACGCGGGGCTGATATAGAGGTTTGGCGACTTGTGAAATTGTCGTCGGCGTCGGGAGTAATTGTGCGTGGAGCTGATATGGTGGTTTCGCGGCTTGCGATGTTTCCATAAGCATCTGGAATGGGTGCATATGGAGACTGGTAGACGAGTTTAGGATGACTGTATAGCGATTTGTACGGAATGGGAGGACCATTCATAAAATCTAAGTCGCCGGCCAACTCATCCCCTTCATAAGAACCTTCTCTTGACCCCGGAGAGTTATAATCCGCAAGCTTGCTCAATTCCCGATTCGCAATTTCTGCTCCAGGGGTTCCCTCATCCATATCAATAACAGCACTCACGGGGGCTGCACCACCGATTCTTCTCGAGCTTCTTCTAACAAAGTCCTCGCTGGCACTCAATTTCGACTTCAAACGTGAACTTCTCTTCTTCTCAGCAAGAGTTTTCTTCCCTGCCGGGCCGCTTTTCTTGGTCGAAACCTTTTCCCCACCGACAGCCTTGTTTTCCTCTAGAGTCAATTCCTCTGCTTCTTTTTCTTCTTCGACAATGGCAACTTCGGGCTCTCTAATAAAGCCAAATGTGGATCCTCTAGGATCTCTTGTTGGTTTGATAATCGTGTCAACCTGCTTCGGAACTTTGCCAACGCGAGCGTCAGGGCGACGCTTTGGGAGGTAGCAAGGGCTCATGACGGTAATATATTCGTGTTTTGTGTCTATTGGTGAGTTAGTAGGAGACTAGGCAAGACGTGCGAGATTCATCTAGGCTAGAGGCAGGACTGCCGATAGTTTAAATTGCAGTCCTGTAAGGAAAATATCCACAATCTAATATTATGGTTTGAAGTCTGGAATATTGGATTCATTTTGAATGATGTGGTCTTTTTTAAACGCCGAGAAGTTGTATTCAATCTGCCAATCCAAACTATTGGATATTCTGACTGATTGAAATAACAGGTCAAGGGAGAATGCTAGACTGTAGGCGGAGTATTGAAATAAAAGAAAGGAGATACGTACGTCTATCATAGAGTACAAACTTATTGACTTGTCTCTTGTCATATGTGATAGAATCCGCAAATTCAGGAAGAGGTGTCGGATCCTTATCTTTCACTAAAATTTGACACAAAAGTTAGTTCTGGCTGGTACATTTATTTCTGTTCGCAAAAAAACAGAGGTTGCAACAGATGTGCGACAAAAGGATTGGTATGGCAACATACAAATGGCATCGTAGACTCTAATAGTTTCCATGATGATCTCCGCATTCCTAGTTGTAATAGATGGATGGTTGTTTCTGGCTTCTAATTTCACGTTAGCTGAATTGCTTCACTGGTCTTGTGGAATTGAGGCGGGGGATTAATGATTGAAGTAGTTTAAACGTACTGGATTTCAATGCGCGCCATTGAGCGTCAGTGTAATAAACCGGCAAGCCAAGCATTCGCGGCATGATTAAGATTCTCGAAGATAATCGGCCTTGTTTTTTGGAAGTTGGTTGTTGTAGAAAAGAAGTTTGAGGTTCTTGTGGTGGAAAGGTTTATTTGGTTGAAGTTGTGGTTCAAAGTCGGACATCGAGATTTGAGTTTGTCTTGATCTTGACTTTGAGGTAACTTTGTAGGAGAATTTATTGTGAATGGAAGAAGCAAAAAGGAAGTTGAGAATGTTGTAAAGCTGATAGCTTAAGTACCTAGGTAGATACTGAGTGGTGCGGTTCTCTGTATCGCTTAAGATGGGATGATTGATTTGTGATTGAGTACGGGTCCAATACGGCTGAACCGTACTTCGCTGCTGGATTTTAGTGATTGAGTGACAGTATCGACACATTCATTGATTGAGGGTCAGTAAAGTACGAAATATATTCATGTTCAAATCGTGCTTTTTATATTGGTCGTTCACTTGCATATATTAGGAAAGGTCTATCCAGGTGGAACCGAATAACGTGACTTGCAATCCGAGTTCATGGGATAGATATTTAGGAGACCCTAGAGTAAATCGGCACAATGATTCTCATCAAGCGTCAAGTGATTCACTACTCTCTAAGAAGTAACGATCGCTTATTATGATTCCTCGTACGATTATAGATCTTCCACGTTATACTGACCGTAACTTGATTTTTTACATCCACGGCCACCAATAACTGGAATCTTTTCTCGTCTAATTTAAAGTTCACGGCTTCGATTTTCAGAATCTCAAGCGCCCCCGTGGGGATTGAGCTTCCGCAAGCCACGCGACCTTTATTACTAATCATAAAAGACCACATAGTCCCATTATATGCCAGGCCGCCTGTACGGGTGCAGTTCTTTTTCTTCCCATCTGGCTATGGTTGGCGATAGTTCAATGATTTCTTTGCTAGCAAAACCGGAGAATATGGGTTAGGTACGATCTATTGCATTCCTCACTCTCTTTCTTTTTCACATTGCATCATTCAAGTTACTACTTACGTGTTACCGTACTTGCTGACGTGGTTTTGACAACCCTACAGGGACTCGTTCAAATCTTATTGATAAGACTAAGGCTCTTAGCCTCTGAGTTGCTCTGATGCTACATCAGAATAAAGGACTTGAACACGCTAAGGCGTGTGATGAAGATACTTTAAGTTGAAGGGCAGAGTTTCCAAAGTGTGCATGATTGAGCCTGGACATATGGATGGAAAAGGTAATTCAAAGTATTCTTGTGCTTTAGGAGAATAGTGGCAGATGAAGTCTCAGGTTATTCTCGAGTAATACATACATTAAAACTTACAACCACTGCGACCTGACATAGTTACATCAGTTAGTACTTGCCTATTTGATGTACAATTAATGATAACTTGTGGAAACTCTTTTTTATTTCTATGTTCGATAAAACATTCTTGATGCATTGAATAAATAATATTGAGTCCCTCAATTATAATAAGCTTTCAAGCCCGAAATTTCATGCCAGCACAACGTCGAAAAAATATCCAGTATGCAACTCACTTTAGCAATTTGACCTTACTGAATTTTAATGTCACAAAAGCTTGGATAGCCAAATTTAATGGATTATTTTACGATACATATCTTCCGGTCTGCTCTGATAATTATCCTCTGATCCAGTTACCCAAAACTTGCCTTCTTGTCCTAACAATTGTGACATGATCATGTTATTTGCACAAATGCAATCTTAACAAGATTCCAGCATGTCTGACACTTCCTGGTGCAATATTTTCCCAAACTGCAATGGCCTTGGTATATGATACTTGAAGTGCTCTCGTGGCGGCTGTTGGAATGAATTCTCGCTTAATTCAACCTTAGCGTTCGAGGGTCTCTTGTAGACATTTATGAACTAGATTTCCTTAATCGCACTATCTCGAACATCGTCTTTGATATGAAGATTCTTAGAAGTATGATCGAAGAATACGCCATTGTAAAAGCCGATCTCACGATGAGGGTGTTCTGATGGAGAATACCGAGGTTTAGGTACCATCATACGCTCAGGGTTTTGTTGTCGGTGTGACATTTGTGTTTCTTGAGATGTAAAGAGCGGCTGTAGGGTATCCATTCCAGTAGAGTTATTGGCAGCGAAATGATCTTCGGAATGTAAATTCCTTGGTCTGGAGCTAGAAGTTGATTGTTTAACATCTTCTCCCATCTGGGGACTAATTGGATCTTGCATGCTGGAACTCGAGCTTGGATAAGCCTCTTTAGTTTTAACTCTCTCTAGAGGGGAACCAAATATTTCTAAGTCTTCTGCTGGGATATTGCTGTCGCTATCTAAGCGAATATGATCATGACTCCGCTGAGAGTCGCTCACGAATTGATCGCTAGCAGTAGTTTCCTGTTGACTGTGGCGACTCCAAGATCGCGGACGAGGAGACAAAGCGGTTGAATAACCAGGAGATGTACTATTTGAAACAGAACGGGCTATAGAATTCTCTAATGATAAGTCGGTAAAACAGCTCTCTTCACTGTTGCCATCATTGTCAATATCATCGTTGACATCATCTAATGTTTCAGATGGATAAGGGATAAGATATTCGGATGTGCGTGCCTCGTATGGCCTGGCGTTTTTGGAAGAACTGGGAGTTCTTTCTTGAACTCCGCCTGTGGAAGGCGCTCCGTCTCCAAAGATGTTGCTTTCATTGAGGCCTTGACGCCTAGGCTTGACCCGAGCTTTGAAACTACGTTTAATACTATCTGATAATGGCATATTGATAGGTACACTTTGGTGGTTTGTTGAAAGATTTGATGGAGATGTTATCGACGAAGCCTTTGCTCTTATTTTGTGCAAACTTCCTTATCTTTCAGAAGAAATTCAACTCCAGAGATGATCCTTTAATAATGATAGATGGTACAATAAAGTATAATACGGTCTTTTCTATGACTCCAGCGCTAGTTTTAAAGCAAAGGATATATTATCAGCATGGTACAACGCATACGGCCAGCACTAATTCGTAAACAGCAAGCATCTTCTATACGGCACCGTGTGTATAGTAACACACAAACCGTAACATCATGTATTCTTGAATATGGACATGAGCAGCTTATGCAAATAACTTACTTTGTTGTGTATGCGATTAACGTAAGTCAGAGGTTCATGCTGGAGAAGTCTAACCTGGGGGTCTAGGCTGGGAGTGGCATACTGGTCTTTATATTGATAGTAAAAATGTATATGATTGATCCAATTTAAGCTTCGCAATTGAATTTCATGTTGAGCCTTGGTTAAACTATAAAACTATAGTTCAATTTTAGATGCTCGAGTGTATGTCCAGATATTTGCTATAACCGGGGGGGGGCAGCTATTCTGACGTCTAAATTATGGTCACATATTAATTCTTTATTCTCATATAGCGATTTCAGAAGGTTCAATAGGTCATTCTCACGTTTTAATCAGGATGAGGTCACCAAGATATGTCAGAATTATATTCCAGAGTTCTTTGCGTATAACTAGGTACTTGATTTAGCGCTAAAGTGGCGTTCTCGTACCACAATTGAGATCGCCTTCTCGAACAGTTGCAACGAGTGGGTATACTCCGTGCTTTATACTGGTTCCCAAAACCAACCTGTAAAAAGGACTACAAATGTCTGCAGTTGTTTCTCCCTGATAGTTCAAATTACCATGTGCCACTGTTGCCCCCTTGGTCTTTGCACCTAGATGCATGAGTACTCAAACGCCGCTCTATCTTCCTCGATATATGGCTGTCAGAAACATCAAGCATTGATTCAAGCTTGTTCTCGATTCTGATTCATCTTTACACGTAGTCTATACGCAACCGGAAGCATCAATTCATCCCGACACAAGGGGCATGTATCATGCTTCTTCAACCATTCAACGATACAATCCCTACCAAATACATGTCCACATTTTGGCATCTTTGAAGGCTCGTGATTGGGTTCAAGAGGAATGGTAGCCTCAGCGTATGCCTCAATACAGATACCGCATTGTTCAAAGTCTAATGTCGCAGCATCGACTGGTGGCAGCATATCCTTGATAGCTCTGGTTCGATCGTGGTAGCTCTTCCTAATCTCAACCACAATGAACTTCACTGTGCCATCCGAATTTCCTAGAAGAGCAAATCGCTTTTGTCCATCCAAATTGGGATTTCTACGAAGCTCCGCAGTTGAAAGTAATGGGACTGTCTCCGGTTCAAAATCTACAATATCCTCAAGACTATCGAAATCTTGCCCCGTGAATGCTAAATTCCCGGTAGACACAATATCAAGTGTCAGACCAGACTCTTCGTATTGAGCAGAAAGATTGAGCCAATCCATGTGTCTTCGTGGTCTTGTGAGGTTAAGACGATTGAATATCTCCTGTGAGAAGGTATTCTTGGTCGACGACGAAGAGCGGGCGTTGCGGAATCGTGAAAGTATAGTTTCCATTATTAAAGACATAGTAGATTGACTTTGCTAGAAACTCGGGTCGATTTGAGATTTTGATGAGGTTGGGTGGTAACTGTTCTGAAATTTGTTATCCGTCGACTCCTTGAACTTATTGGATGATGAAAGTATTTGTGATGAGTCTATAGAAAGATAAAAACTCTTATTGACAGGCATAGATGCTCCTTATAAGCTAGATAAATCATTCTTACGGCATCATTCAGACACTCTTTGACAAAGTTTTATTACTGTCGTTAGAACATGATATTTGGAATGTTACGGCTGCTACGGTGCAAGATACGTTTCCATTACGGGCTTTCATGTTGTCGTTTAACTTCACTATTATCATTCTCGTTAATTTTATCTATTCACTCGCGTGAGAAGCGACTACAAAATCGCCGTAAGAGGGAGTCGAAAATTGAACCCCATTTGTATTTTAATTACAGACGAGACTTCGTAACGAGTACATGTAGAGCAGATTATTTTTCTATAGAGCAAACAATTTGAAAATTCGAGCAGATTATACACAAATAATTTCAGGATCTATTGTTGATTCAAGCTTGATTTTGTACTGAATTGAAATAAACATAATATTGTAAAATGGATAATGGATTTCACAGAAAATCTATAGAGTAGGTAGAGCCTTCAATAGATCATTTGTAAAGCAAATTGTTCGTAGATCATCTGTACATGTATATTATTTTTGCGCAGTCTCAGTATATTCAACAGTCTAGACTACAGTCAAACAATATAAGGGTCTGAATATCTAGAAGTATTTAAAAATCTTGAAATTTTAAAAAATTTCAGTATTTCAATGAAATTCGATATCACGAATGATTTGAATATTCTAATTGTTTGGGGATTTGATAATCTTTATTATTAGATTGTAGTCTGGAATATTGAGTACCCTGCGCAGTCTGATACAGACTTCGGGTCAGTATTAGGATTGATTTAGTAGAGCAAACCGAATTCTATTGATAGAAGATCACCTGAGTAGAACTTGAAGCTTTATACTTTATTTTTATGAAATTCGAACATTAATAATGACATTAATTAAAGATCTACATTTACAAGTTTTTATATTAATCTTATAAACATTCAACTGTACGACTATTCATAAATTCGTTTGCTCGTCTATATTTATAGATCATTTGTCTAAGCTGTCGTTTTCACTCATGTATCTAAGAGAGTATTTCACTGTTCGATGTTCTCAAAAGTTTCTTTAAATTTATTGATATATTGGAAACTATCTAGCATCTACTTTGCAGTTCCATCTAAACTTACTGAGCTCTGTTATTTATAGTAGCTTCATAGGTAGAAGTTCAAAATGGGCTGAAAGTATTCCCAACTAATCATCCTGATGTCGAGGCCCTCCAATATCTGTTGATGGACTATATGACGAATCAATATTTGTCCTTATCAGTCCCTGGCCTGATATTCCTCGTGTTCGCCATTCTAAACCCTATTCTACCCACGTCTTTAGATGAAATGGCACAGGTAGTGACGCTTTCCGACGACAAATTGGGCATGGATTATTATCCTTCAACCATTGTGTAATACACCGCCTACCAAAAACATGCCCACATGTCTTTATTTTCACTGCAGCATGATGTGGTTCATTTGAAATGATGATCGAATCTTCGGAATCTTTTGAAGTATCGATCGAATCTTCGAAACCGTTCGTAAAATCAGAAGTAGCTTCCAAATTGGTTACCACTGTTTCGGGCTCGCTTAGAGTGGCAGCCGTGGTATATGACTCAATGCAAATGATACAATGCTCCGAATCAAGATTTTCAACATCCACAGACTCTAGTATCTCATTGATAGCCTCAATTCGGTTCGTGTAATCGAATAAGATTTTCACACTCATGTTTCTCATGCGCCCATCACCATAGTATAGAGCTGCAAGAAATCGATTTTCTTCTCCCAAATCTTCTTCAATGTCAAGTTCACCAGAAGATATCCTCGGATAATCGCTATCGCTATATGCGATGTCAATGGCGGCTCTTGCAATGTTCTCGAACTCTGGATTGGTACGGCTCATGTCGCCATTAGGGGAAATAACTTCGATTGTGACTCCATGTATCGTAACCATAGTTGATATCATTGTGGGAATCGGATTCAATGGTGTCATTGGCGTGGGTGGTCTTGTCGTGTTCTCAGGAACTCGGAAACCACGTGGTGGGATGCGGTGTGAGCGCGAATTAAGTCTATGAGGAAGCATGGTGCTTCCGGTTTGTTGGAGGATGGAAATGATATTTGTTATATCTTTCTTGTAAGTTGGTATTAGGTGAGCGTTTATGTTTCCGAAAGAGATGTGCTATATGATGTTCTAAGATCCAATGTCGAGAAAGTGTTGTGAGGTGGTTGGAAAACGTTACTTGTTGTTGATGATCGAACAGGAAGAGAGAAACGAGGAAGCCCCAGTTACAAGACTTGTTTATAAGTTGGCAACTATGTTCATACTGTTTCAGTATCATCAAAGATACGGTCTGTCTGATACAGGAAATATTGAGCGCAAATACGGTCCATCATGCTATGCATGCACCTCAGGGGACAAAATATGACTTCTACTGCTTAATTGGGTACAAAGAAAGGTCAACTGATCTTCCGCTTCAAATCAGTGGAATTGAAATCTTATCAAGGCAAATAAATCTATTACTTTCGTGTATCTGCTTTTTGTGTTACACACGCCGAGACCGAGTCGGATCATGGGGGATGATGTATATATATAAAGGCATCGTCATGTGGGCCCTGGATCCAATGGAATTAGAGTATCTGTCAGGTATATTCATGTGAAGGACGAAAATTAATAAAATACTGGATCATATAGTAAAGGAATGTGTTTTATTTTAAGGAGTAGGGGGGTAGATTCTATAAGGATAGGTTCTATATTAGAAGAATAAATTTCACGGTGGAATCGACGATCATGTGCCTTTCTTTCTTTCTCTTTCTTGAAACTTAGATTCTAGTCTCTGATTATTGGAACTCAAATTTTGATACAGTTTAGGATAAACTGTATTTACATTATATGATAGAATCTACGAACCCCATGGGCGTGCCGGTGACTTGTCATAATTTTCAATGTCTCTGTATGTGATTTTTCTCTTGATTTTTTAAAAAATTCAATTCTCTACGCATTTTAATTATCCCTGGATAATATCCCGCTTGATCGCTAAAAAAAACCATTGCTAAATGCACCAACCAAACGCTGATTCGATATTCTGTTGCGCCTACGCACGAAACTGAACAATCGGAAATGTTCGAAAACCTCACTGAGCCTTTTCGATCAAAGGTAAATCCCCGCTGTAATTCATATTCCAAAACGTTTGAAGGCCTCCATGGATGAAATTTCTCTATTCGATATCTACCTTATTCCGACACAGAGGGCAGGTAGAGTTGTGTTTCAACCACTGAATAATACAGTGTTTGCCAAATATGTGCGAGCATACTGGCACTGCACAAGCTATGTGAGAGTCGCTGGTGTCGGGCCGCATAGTGTGGAGTCTCTGGCAATCATTGCAATAGCGCATGTCCTTGACCACAGTAGGAGCATGTGAGGTTTCATTGTATTTTTCCAGGCAAATAGGACAGCGGTCTGATTCTCCGGCAGATACGGGAGAAAGATAACTTTCAATCTCTTCAAGTCGAAAATTCTCATAACAACTGCGTTTGATCATCGTGTCATCTTCAAAGATCAAAGGCGGAGGATTAGGTAGACCCCCAAACTCCAGGGGTTGAGCTTCTGCGTCCTCGGCTTGAGAATTCGCTATTGCTTCCGTGTGATTTTCAGATGCCTGTCGTGCTTCTTCACCCTCGGATTGAGAACCCACCAATTGCTCGTCGTTCTCAGATGACACTAGTGCTTCTATTCGTGCTCTAATCCGCGCAGCCCATGTCCCTGCCCCTGGTCTTCCATATATTATGCCATTTACACCATTTATATGCTGTATAATTTCAGCCATTTGTTGTGATTGACTGAGGCTATCAGCCCGAGTAGACTGGTCAGAAGATACATCTTGCTGGGCGTCCGACGATGACTCAGTTTCCGGGGGGGGAGAATTTGCCATAATTGTTGTGTGTTGATAAATTATACTAGTGATTGGGTCGAGTGCGTTCTTGGAGGAGTTCTTTCTATATTGTTTGAGTATGAGAAGTGGTAATGAATAGAATTTGAGATTCCTTGACCTATATTAATATTTCTCCAACTTGTTAAAGAGATGATTTGTGTGGAAATTTTGTAGAATGTACTTTACCTTTTTATGTTCAAAAATGGCCAGCGCGGCTCAATCCACTGGTTTAAGCACTAGAATAATCTACATGCCGTTTAAAGTTTAATTTGAAAACGATCCAGTCTCTTCGAATTCTTTAGTTTAAAGACGCGCACTAAGTTTATTAGTCGAATAGTGAACAAGATCGGGAAGCTGCTTTGGCTTTCGGCTTTCTGTGTGACGCCCTAAAATGATACAAAGTACTATGCTTACTCTACCTCAACTTTTGGTTGTACACATATTATTATATTAGAATTCTGTGATAGTCCCATGAAAATGATCTCTAGTCGTATCCTAGTGTGGAAGATCACAAGTGCCAGTGGACTACTCCGTGGGCTACTAGTGATAATTGGTCCTCTCTAAATTTTTCTGTTCGAGAGTCTAGAAGATATGTTACATGGTTTCAAGAAAATTAAGTTAAATTCCATTCATTTTGTGACTTTCAGTAGGTAGGTATCGAAGGGAGTCCAAATAAGCTTTTGAGGTTCTTTCCTTTTCTGTTCGCTTTCCCCCTCACCCTTCCCTATCTGCATTCAGTTTATCGATTAATATATATGGTGTATCTGCAGTTCCTGGCGACAGTGATATGCATACATCAAGCTTGAACGCCAAAACCCCAAGAGCTAATAATAGACCTGTAAGACGTGCGGTAAGAGTTTCAAATGGGAAGATAATCATACTATCCGTCTGGTGCAGTGAGGTCTCATACTCCTTCTTACTATATGATGCGAGGTTGTGACGTTAGATTCCAGGTCCGCTGTCAAAGAACTGAATTTTGAAGGTTCCAGTTTAAGTTTAGCTCAAGAAGCCGTCAGAGTAGTGAAGGAAGTCATTCTCCAGATCGACGGCTAAAATTCACTTTGTCAAGTAAGATTAGTTTGAAAATCGAGTCTGTCTCATTTGGCTTTCTTTTAATTGTATAGTATTTATTTCATCTACCTATCTTGAAAGGCCTTCCCTCAACCGCTCAATTGTGCATTCGAAGAGAAGTACATTCGCTTGCATTCCACCAGAATGCTACAAGTGGCCTCTGAGATTACCAATGCTTATCAACTCTGTGGAATAGCTGACATTTTCAATTATCCTCCCTAAATAACTTCTTCACTTTCTCCAATTATGAGGTAGTACGTCCACTCAATAGTCGTAAACATTCGAAGAGTTAGTGGGAATGTCGAGTTTACCGCGGCACATTGGACAAGTGCTCTTTCTCTCTTCCTTAAGCCATATATTGATACACTCCCGCCCGAAGACATGCTTACAGCCTGGTACCATGCAAGCGCCATGAGAAGCACCATTTTCTGTACTTGAGTCGTATTTTTCGTTGCAGATTGGGCATAGTACCGATTCCGTTTGCGTTTCATCAATAAAGACTGGAGTCAAAAGCTCGTCGATGGCCTGGTTTCTGTGATTTTCTTCGATATCTGCATGAGACTCACGTGGCCTAATGCCCGCGTATAGACCGTGGAAATCATCTATTATCTCTATAGATATCGTTTGAACCGGGATTCCGTCTTGAAAATCAATTGTCGATGCTGGAGTGGTGCCACTGCCATTACGATCGTTCAGTTGTTGCCTGAAGATCACGAGAGCTCCCACTACATGCTGATTATTCATGCGGGTGTTTGGAAACCTGGTTCGAATATACCGATTAAATCGGGACCATATCTCAGCATTAATGGACTCCACATCCTCAGCAGCAGCTTCTTGTGGCACAACATTTTGTAAAGAAGTGTCTGAACTATCGTCATCGGTAAGGCCACCCGAAAGCTCTTCGTTGTTGGCAGGGTCACTACTCTCGGTATCTTCAGGAGTGTCATAAGAAGTAGCATCTGCTGGAGCTTCATCTTGCAGAATATTTTCATGTAGAGCGAGTGATTCAAGAAGAAGAGATCCAGCATTTCCAGAAGTGTTTTGTTGCCCAGATCTTTCTACCTCCTCAGTGGCCGAAATATTGCTCTGCCCAGAAGACATAATGATGGGAATTTCTGTGTGTAGAGTTTCGAAAGTTGAAGACTGGAAACAGTTTAATTTTCTGGTGTTGTTGTAGATTTGATATATCTCGAACAATTTTTGAGCTGCCAGGAGAGTATGAAGTGTTCAGTCGATGGTTGGATACTTGAAGTCAGAACAATGTTATGATGAGAGATATTTGTAAGGAAGATGGAAGTACCACACTCATAACAAATGATTTTTAGATACCTAGGTATCACAAAAAGATTTAGATATGCAACAAGCGACTTTTGATACAGCAGTCTGCCAAAGCTCTGACGCTGTGTATTGGACAACTTTTATTTTAGAAACAAGTATGCAGAAGTTTACATTCTTGCTGACAAAGTGAATAGATGAAAGTGAATACTCAAGGGGATTAGGAGATCAATGACCAAAAATCCGAACATAGCTCACAAAGAAGATCTTAGATTTCAAGAGATACTTTGCATAATCATGAATGTTATATACGAAATATCAGATATGATACAGTTTAGATATCAACGAAGATGTTTATGTATAAATTTGAACTTGCCGTTCGAAGCTTGAAATAATCAGGTATATGTTTGTACAAAAATTGAGCATCTCAAAGACCACAAGTTGCAGGTCAACCACTTATTAATCTGAAAATTTCACTAAAAAAAAGTTTTATCTAAATAATGTCAAAATCTGCCTAGGTAGTGGACTTGAATCTTTGAGAAAATAAATTCTGGGAATATTCTACTAAACAGGTAGCTACCTTGGTAGACATAAAATATTCTGGATCTCACTGTTGCTATCGCAAAATGTTTAAGTAATGCTAAAGTTACAGTATCTTTAGTGTCTCTACTATGAGTACAATAAGAAGTCATGGCTAGGGCAGTTGCTGGCAGTCTTCATTCTGAGGCCACAAAGAACAGATATGAAAGATATCAGTCATTCAGTTCGAGTGATGATTTCTTAATATACTTCATAAAGTGCATTCAATAATAACATTCCATTATTCTCAGCAACTGTAAGCTATTTATACCCAAAATTCATTGTATAACCAAGATGAAAATAGTGTCTTTCATTCCCAGTCTAATTGTTGCTTCGCTAATCCTAATCTTTATTACACAAACTCACATCAGTTGATCTTTTCAACAATGTTTTCTACTATGTGCTCACGCTTTGAGATTCCCTGCTGGAAAGCTGTTTTACTTTGTATATTCGTCATGATGTATTTTCTTGTTATATGAAGTATTCAGCTTGTTTATTGGTTTGACAAGGTAAAAAAGCAATCATAATTCACAAATTCACAGACACCTAGCTACCCGGTAGTTCTAGAGCAGCTTTGTAATTTTAAGGAGTCACTGTGTCTAATTCACATGCATATAAGTTACTTTTCTCAAAAGATGCTTGCAAATTGTCCTAAGTAAAGAAGAAAGTAGTGCAAAGAAACTGTTATAGGCCCAGTGAAGCCACAATGTGCTGTCAGAATTGATAACATCCATACCGATTTTCAACTCCACGATCCAGAAACGACGTCGTCGATATACCAAAGATGATATTTCGTCGATCTTATTCTCATATACTTGACTATGAGTTATTTCTCTCCCCATCACTAAACCCCACTGTGAATAAATTGGTAGCTTCAGGTTTCTAGCAAGCGCTAACTCAGTAGAAACCCTTTCGTGAAAAGCCATCGCAAGCTACCTTCCCAGAGTTTCAATTCCCCCCTACCGAACGCATCTGCCTAAACTCATCATTATCAACCCCGCCCAGATTGCGTTCGTTGAATAATCCTCCCCAACCTTTAATATTCCTCTTGTTGAGTTCTCAATGCTCGTGCCTCCTGCGACAAAGCACTCAGAGCAGAGTGGGCAGCCACGCATTTTGGACAGGTATCACTCTTCATCAACCACTCCTTGATGCAACTTCTTCCAAAAACGTGTGTGCAGTGCGCCAACTTCACACGCTCATGGGGCGAGCCACCATCTCCGAATTCCTCAAAACAGAAACAACGATCAATATGGATGGGTTGGAGAATACTATCAACGGCATCTGATCTCTTTCCTTTCAACTCCTCTCTTTCTCTCTGTTGGCGCTCTTTCTTCTCTCTTGCTCTGCGTGCTCTCTCTCTGTGTCTTCTCTCTCTCTCCTGTTGTTTTCTCTCCTCCACCTCTCGGATGGCTCTCTGTCTCTCCTGTTCACGGATCTCTTTTAGCTCTCGGTCAAGTTCCATTTCTCTACTGCGCATACTATCAATAGCGCCTTGATGTCTCGCATAGCGTTGTCTGTGTTCGCCATGCACGGTGCTATTTGACCGAGCAGGTGGACGCTCTGAGCGTGAGATTGGGTCCCTATTGGTTGGTTGATATCCACCTTCGCGGAAGTCTGCCGGATGAACAGGATTGCTGATTTCATCATTTAGTGTAGGGATATCCCACATACGTGGCGACCTAGGTAGACCACGTGCAGCTCGTGCGGCATCAAGTCGCTCAGCAAGATGTTGACCAATAACTGTTGTTCTAGTTGCTCCGTTGGCTCTACCATGGTGAAGTTCTGCGATCAATAGAGGAGAGGTGATACCTGGGTGAACTGGATCACGTTGCTCAGGCAGAGGTCTCAAAGTTTCAGAAGATCCAGACCTAGAGACATTTGTGTTGGGCTGTCTATTCTGTGTATCGAATCCGACACTGGAATCCCTGGATCTGTCAGAATGAGCAGCTTCATTTCTTGATCTGGTATCGGATTCATTGCTGCTTGCGCTTCGTTGATGTTCTGCTTGAGTGCCGGATGCAGTATCCCGATGAGATTCATGTTCTGATCTCAAAGTGGTAAGATCTCCTGAAGATGAAGCACCCTGAGAATTTTGGTGGCCATTACCAGAGGCAGATCGATCGCGAGCCAGGAAATTTTGGATCTCAACAGGATTTTCTTCTCCTGTTAATTCTTCCGACTCATCTTGAGCAACAACAGTATGTGGTCGCTGTCTTGGCATTGGCAGTTGTTGTGCTGTGCTTCCTGTAGTTCTTAACAAGCTAGTATGATGATCCGATACACGTGCATGGCGTTGAATAATATCTCCATAATCATGGGTACTTCTTGGTTGTGTTGAATATTGTCTAACAGCAACTGGGATAAATGATCGTGCGGCTGACTGGGGAGTACCAACAGCTCTTGGCTGTACATGAGATGTTTCACCATATTCGCGAGCAGTTGATTGGCCTCCAACTCGGCGTGAGCTAGAAGGCTCTGGTCGCGAGCTTGGGTTATGAGTAGCAGTGGATCTATCTTGCAATGAAGTGGATCTAACTGCAACTGGAAGCCTGGATACTGAGGCGCGTGGCTCCGGGTTGCTGACGACTCTTGGTGGTAATTGAGCATCCTCGGTATTATTAGAACTCATACAGCGACCTGGGGATGAACGATGAGTATTGACTCTTGATTGGTGGCCAGAATAGGAGGCAATTATATCTTCGTGATGATTGTTTTCTTGCTCAGGAGTAACTGCTCTGGCTTGGGGAGATGAAGCTGCGATAGCTTCCTCGACAAGATGTAAAAATGGCTCAGCAGTATCAACTTCTGGCTCTGGAATGACCAAGTTGTCACTATGGTCATATGGTGGAGGAGTGGCTTCGCGCGGCTGTACCTCAGCTTGTGAAACAGGAATGATTACCTGCGGTGACATTGAGTAGATGCGAGAAGCGACAGGAATATGGTTTGTGATTCGGTTCGGGCGTGGGCGGCGCTCTCTGGTTGATGGGTCGTGTGCCATTCGGTCTGACAATGTTTCTTGTGGGAAATCTCCCTCCGAGTCTGGATTGTGTTCAAGGATTGATGGATCGCGAGCGATTCGCATCAAGAAGGCTTCATGCTCTGCAGCTGCGTCCAAGGCTGTTGGAACCTGAATCAATGGTCCAAAAAGATCTTCATAGCAGGGAGGAGTGTCTGGGCGTTTGTTGTTGGCAGGTTTGTGGCTGCGTCTGCCACTCTTGATGTAGAAAGCGCCAGTGATGGATCCGCCGACGTCACGAAAGAAATCCGAGAATTTAGTCATGGTGAACGAGTTGGTTGTATGAATTGGTTAACAAAAAAAGTTAAAGTGGAAATGTTTTGAAGGTTTCTAAAGACTAAAAGTTTCTTGAAAAATTCGAGTCCAGATAAATAGAGATGGTCAAGATGTTATTGTAGATGTTAATATGTAGAAGAAAGATAGGGAAAGAGAATGGATGTTTTTGGGAGGAACTTTATGTTGCTTATATATGAAATGAAGCTCTATTATGGCCAGTACTAGTGTGCTAGCGTCATAAACCGTTCCTAAATCCTACAATATAGTACTGTTAATAGTACTGCTCATACAACGTAGCAGTTAGGAATTGCTACGGCGCAAAATTGACTTTTAATGTAGTATTGCCGTACCAATATTTTACTCTTGACGTATCATAACTGTACCTAAAGTTTGATTGTTTCTGCTTCCGCACCTAACCTCTAGAAAGTCTTTGTACTAGCTTTCTGTCGTCTTTACTCGCTAACAATTTTCAAAGGGGGTTAACGAGCCATGTGATCAATAATGCCAAGAAATCTAGACACATTTTCTAATAGCTATATTGGCTCAAATTGTAAGGTCTCAGATATCATAATCACATAAACAGAGTAATAGCAAAAGAGAGTTTTTCATTGGATTTTATCAAGTATCATAGTAGACATGCTTTTTATTATTCAGAGTTGAAAAATGCGAACCCCCTCCGTCTGCTGGCCCCAAATTTGATGCAATCCGCCACTTAATCAATTTATCTCGCTTATCAAGTGGCCATCTACTCTGCTCCTCCCTATCTATAACGTCTTTCCGACTCAGAAAATATAGTCAATGATGCTATAAACATCGTCAATCACATTTCGCGTTACTGGTCTATCGCTTGGTAAATGAACCACTTTCCTACACATTGGGCAAGTCGAGGGGTCGTTTTCGCCCAGCCATTGTACGATGCAACATTTCCCGAAAATGTGTGGACAATCTGGCA